TGGCTTTTTATACTTGTTGCACACGTGCTTAACTCTGAATGGACCTAGTTAAAATTGATTGGATTAATTGATAGCAGCCATTGTGGAACTGAACACTCAGAGTTCCTGACTTTAGGCAGATCAATTTAGAGTTGCAGATTTGAATCTTAATTTGTTATACCTGCTTCGTGAAACAGAGCCCTGGTCTACAATTTCACCTCACAATCCATTATGGGATACTACAGCACCTCTTTAACTTCAGTCTGACCCAGAGGACGGTTACATTAATATGTAAAACTCCCTGCCTTGTTCCAGTAGCAAAGAAAACGCACTCAACAGTCCTCATTATCTTTAGACTTTCTGCCCTTAGAAGTGAGACTTATGTTGGTTTACCTGAGCAAGAAAACCATGCAGCTATCAGAAACCCCAGCACAAGATGCCATCATAAACCTGCTGTAAAAAACTGTAAATCACTGTCCCTTCCCTTCTAGACAGGATAGTTAAATGCCTGCTGATGCTGACTATTAGCATTAGCGAGCTAGCAATCAGCCAGCAAACAACATAGATGAGCAACCCAGTCTCATGGGAAAATGTACCCCCACTACGTTGGTCCACACTGGAAAACGTAGTGGAGGTACATTAATGGCCATTTTTTTGTGGTACTGTTACGTTTCTTCTGCCTATACGCTTTCTATTGTTTTACGTCCTAGTCACGTGACTTTCAAGATTCCAGCTGGGAGAAGAAAAAAATATATATAGATGGCCGACATTCGCTCACTTAATAACTTGAGTTTGTTTTTGCATTAAAATGAGTTTTGATTACATTTCTAGTGAGAAATGTATAGTTTGTTGCCAGGATATTTACTCAGGGAATGTACATATTCACTTGCTTGTTCGTTTCTTGCAAAGATTTTTCAAGATAATGTGAAACTGTAAAATTTTGGTATAAACATGGCTGAGATTTCTCTAACTTTTAGTGGGAAAATCAATAATTTCAATCAGTTTCTGCATTTAAATGGGTTTTGATTACATTTATAGCGAGAAGTGTAGGGTTTATTTACATAATATTTACTTAGTGAACATACATAATCACCCGCTTGCTAGTTTTTGCTACGGTTTTTCGGATCTCGTCAGGATTATGTGAAATTGCAACGTTTTGGCTGCTACCCATCGCCTAGCATTTAGCTGCCGCCCCGATTCAACATTGAATTCTTTGTGATTTAACTCCATCTGACGGATCAAACCCTCGCCACTGCGTGCGTTGCGTCTGAGGTTGATTTTCAGATCAATGCATTACGTCGTGGCATACGGGAGAAACTAATTAAACTAGTTAAAAAAAGGATCATGGGTTAAGATTGGATGTGTTTTATTTGGAAATCTACCGGATCCTTTGTGCAATTAACTTCCTGTTTGGTGCGATCTCATTGATGGGTTTTGACCAGATTTTGACCAAAGAGGAACTAAAAAAAAACAAAAAACAATTTGAATACACAACCAGCATATCTGGAATCAGTGACAGAGAGCGACAGGGACCAGAAGTTTATTAATTTCTCCCCATTGATTTCCATTCAAAATGTTTTCGATCCCACCGGGCTCTAGGGAGGGGGCGGGCATACCGCCACCTACTGTTCATGAGTGTGTAGCAACATTGTTTTACATCTATTAAATTCTATTTTTTAAATTTTGTATTCTGAAGATAAATAAATAATGCTTTCCTTAATCTATAAATATCTTTTATATTTCCTTTATTTCCCAATAATCCTTTAAGACTCCATTCTTGGCCTGTCCTCTTTTCAATTTCTTCCTTTCAGGTTCATATGTTTTGCAGTTCATCAATACATCTGCATTTTCTATCTCTCCACATCCTTCACATTTATCATTATTTTTCCTCCCTATTAAGTATAAATTGTCATCTAAATAAGTATGACCTACTCTTAATCTGATCATTATTATTTCTTCCCTTCGGTTTCTCTCATTAATATTTCTATTTAATACTGACTTTTGTACTTTATATAACCTTCTTCCTTTTTTATCTTCATTCTACCTTTTTTTTGCCATTTTTCAATTTCTTTCCTCTTAATAAATGATTTTCCTTCCCCTTTCCCTAAAGAAATTGTAATTGTTATTGCCTCCACTAATTGCTAATTTGTCTACTACTACTACATTTTCCCACTTTGACCTTTTAAGGTTAGCATATTGACCAAAAGCTGACACCAAAAATAAAGCAATCGATTATTTACAACAATATGCTACATTTAATGAAGACTAATACAGATTTTACTCTCTTATAAGAATTAGTTTTAGGTTTTATAGGGGAGAGTTTGTATCGGCAGTCATCTGGGAATCTTTTATGTATTTACTGGTAAAGAACAACCTCTCAACCCATTTAATGTAAATGTTGCTTCGAACCAGAAAGTTATTTGAAGAGCATAGATGCATAAATATGTGCATAGCTTTAACAAGGGCCTCATGAAGGTCTGTTCTGTTATTCTCTTTTGAAGAATATAGACATTGTGGGCATTCATTTCCCTGATAAGCTGGTGAAGATTCTTAGACATCCAGGTCATAATCATTCCAAAAAAAAAAAAAAAAAAAACTTTGGACTTTGTTTTTCAAGTTTGAAGACTTCCCATTCAGGACGTTTTTCAATTCAAAATTACAGTAGCCCAACAAATCCTTGTTTTGGCTAAGAAAATATGCAAATTGAACCTGATGCCTGATCCCAATAGCTTGACTCTGAACCGAATTTGATCCCTATTACTTTTTGGCCACATGCACATTATTGTACTGCCTGGTCAACCCTAAGAAAATGTTCTGGAACTGCCACTGAACTGACACCCATTGCATGGAGGGTAACCCAAAAAGGGCCATTGTTAGAGAAACTGGGTGCCTACAAAGTGCTGTTTTCAAGCTAATTAATGGAAAGTTAGCTGGAATGAAAAGTAGACAAATAACAATTACAATTCCTTTAGGGAAAGGGGAAGGAAAATCATTTATTAAGAGGAAAGAAATTGAAAAATGGCAAAAAAAAAAAAGGTGGAATGAAGATAAAAAGGAAGAAGGTTATATCAAGTACAAAAGTCAGTATTAAATAGAAATATTAATGAGAGAAACCGAAGGGAAGAAATAATAATGATCAGATTAAGAGTAGGTCATACTTATTTAAATGACAATTTATACTTAATAGGGAGGAAAAATAATGATAAATGTGAAGGATGTGGAGAGATAGAAAATGCAGATGTATTGATGAACTGCAAAATATATGAACCTGAAAGGAAGAAATTGAAAAGAGGACAGGCCAAGAATGGAGTCTTAAAGGATTATTGGGAAATAAAGGAAATATAAAAGATATTTATAGATTAAGGAAAGCATTATTTTTTTATCTTCAGAATACAAAATTAAAAAATAGAATTTAATAGATGTAAAACAATGTTGCTACACACTCATGAACAGTAGGTGGCGGTATGCCCGCCCCTTCCCTAGAGCACGGTGGGATCGAAAACATTTTGAATGGAAATCAGTGGGGAGAAATTAATAAACTTCTGGTCCCAGTCGCTCTCTGTCACTGATTCCAGATATGCTGGTTGTGTATTCAAATTGTTTTTTGTTTTTTTTAGTTCCTCTTTGGTCAAAATCTGGTCAAAATCCATCAATGAGATCGCACCAAACAGGAAGTTAATTGCACAAAGGATCCGGTAGATTTCCAAATAAAACACATCCGATCTTAACCCATGATCCTTTTTTTTAACTAGTTTAATTAGTTTCTCCCGTATGCCACGACGTAATGCATTCATCTGAAAATCAACCTCAGACGCAACGCACGCAGTGGCGAGGGTTTGATCCGTCAGATGGAGTTAAATCACAAAGAATTCAATGTTGAATCGGGGCGGCAGCTAAATGCTAGGCGATGGGTAGCAGCCAAAACGTTGCAATTTCACATAATCCTGACGAGATCCGAAAAACCGCAGCAAAAACTAGCAAGAGGGTGATTATGTATGTTCACTAAGTAAATATTATGTAAATAAACCCTACACTTCTCGCTATAAATGTAATCAAAACCCATTTAAATGCAGAAACTGATTGAAATTATTGATTTTCCCACTAAAAGTTAGAGAAATCTCAGCCATGTTTATACCAAAATGTTACAGTTTCACATTATCTTGAAAAATCTTTGCAAGAAACGAACAAGCAAGTGAATATGTACATTCCCTGAGTAAATATCCTGGCAACAAACTATACATTTCTCACTAGAAATGTAATCAAAACTCATTTTAATGCAAAAACAAACTCAAGTTATTAATCTTTCCACAAAAAATGAGCGAATGTCGGCCATATATATATATTTTTTTCTTCTCCCAGCTGGAATCTTGAAAGTCACGTGACTAGGACGTAAAACAATAGAAAGCGTATAGGCAGAAGAAACGTAACAGTACCACAAAAAAATGGCCATTAATGTACCTCCACTACGTTTTCCAGTGTGGACCAACGTAGTGGGGGTACATTTTCCCATGAGACTGGGTTGAGATGAGAGCTGGCAAGCATGAAGTTGAAATCAGAGCTATCACCTTTAAAAATTAAGCAGTATGGAAAGGAATAATAGAAAGAAATACATTTCCTCTATATAAGGAATACATATATATTTTTGCCATATATATATATATATATATATATATATATATATATATATATATATATATATATATATATATATATATATATATATATATATATATATATATATATATATATATATATATATATAAAACACTACACTACTTTAAATGCATTTATAAATAAGCTTATTTTAGTAAAATCAAAGAAATTACTAATGTGTTAACATAGTATTCACCAACAAGCACTCAGTGATCATTTAGTCAATAATCACTGACAAAAATCTCAGGGTAAGACCGTCCCACATTTTTCCGATTGGTTAGCAACAGAATAAAAATTCTGGCTGTCAACCACATTCATAACCTGCAATACTGACTCAGGTGAATATTTCCCATTATGATTACACCAGAATGAAGATGTTATCATTACTAAGAGTCATCATTTTTACCGGCCTCCTGTTTGTATACAAGGCAGTTGGGGATCCTTCTTTTTGTCAGATACAGGGAAATCCTGAGTTTCCTGTATTTTCAGAAGAAGGAGATCTGAATATCGGAGGTCTTTTTTCTATCCACAACAATATCACAGAATCTTCACTTTTCTTTATAGAAAGACCAACAGCACTTAGTTGTACAAGGTAAGTATGAGTTATGCAAAAAAATATTGCATTGACTTTTTGCCTTTGTAAACAGAATTTTGTATTATGCTTTTCTTTACTCAGTATTTACCGTAGGGGGTTTCGATTTGCTCAGACAATGATTTTTGCCATTCAGGAAATAAATAAAAACAAGTTTCTTCTTCCCAATATTTCTATTGGATATCGGATTTATGACAACTGTGCATCAACGTTATACTCAGTGCGTGCCGTAATGGCTCTGATGAATGGTGATGAGTTGACATTGGGAAATAGCTGCTCTGGGCAATCAGCTGTTCATGCTATTATTGGAGAGTCTGAATCTTCTTCAACTATTGTACTTTCTCGCACCAGCGGACCATTTCAAATTCCAGTGGTAGGGATAAAGCCAACCAGTGTTCATGTGTCCTTAATATGCAAAATCTGTTTTTGTTTTCTCTCTTGCAGTTTTCTTGTTTTGTGTTCACAGATAAGCCATTCAGCCACCTGTGAGTGTTTGAGCAATAGAAAGGAGTACCCCTCATTTTTTCGAACGATTGCAAGTGATCTCTATCAAAGCAGTGCCCTAGCACAGCTGGTCAAAAACTTTGGCTGGACCTGGGTTGGAGCAGTAAACAGTGACAGTGATTATGGCAACAATGGGATGGCCATCTTTCTCTCTGCAGCACAAGAGGAAGGGTTGTGTGTGGAATATACAGAAAAATTTGACAGGACAGAGCCAAGAAAGCTCTTAAAAGTAGTAGAAGTCATAAGAAAAAGCACTGCTCGGGTAATTGTTGGATTCCTTGCTGATATAGAGATGAAATATTTGCTAGAGCAGTTGAGTCTTCACAATATCACGGGGCGGCAGTTTATTGGGGTGGATGCTTGGATCACTGCCGACAGCCTTGTGACTCCCACCAGCTATAAAGTGCTTGGAGGTGCTTTAGGTTTTGCTGTACAAAAGGCAAACATCAGCGGGTTGGAAGAATTCCTTGTCAGAGGCTTTTGGGAAACAGGTTTTCCTTGTAATCAGAAAAATAACAAGGCAAGTCTGACAAAATGCAAAGAAAACAAGGATATCATGGAGCTCAGAGATAATCAGGATGATGTGACAAAGTTGAGATACACAACTAATATCTACAAAGCTATCTATGCCCTAGCACATTCTCTACACAGCATCTTAAATTGTTCAGAAGGTCAAGGGTGTAATAAGACTGTGGAGGTCAAGCCATGGGAGGTAGAAAAACAACAACTTTTAACTTTTGTTGGGGTCACATGTGGACAAATATGTGGCTAAAAATATATTAATTTTGCCGTTTAGGTAGTAGAGGCTTTGAAGGATGTCAACTTCACCATTAAGAATGGGGACAAAGTGTGGTTTGATAACACTGGAGCTGCTGTTGCCAGGTATGAAGTGCTGAACTGGCAGCAAGGAGAAAATAACTCTGTTCATTTCAAATCTGTTGGCTACTATGATGCTTCACTACCCCCTGGTAAGAGGTTTGTTCTTAACGAAGAAGCAATTATGTGGCCGGGGGAATCAAAGAAGGTAAAGGCCTTTACTGACGATAAAATCTGATCACACTTGTATCTTAAAAAATAGAATTTACCTTTTAACAATATTATTCAATACTACAGGTGCTGGTCATAAAATTAGAATATCATGAAAAAGTAGATTGATTTCAGTAATTCCATTTAAAAAGTGAAACTTGTATATTATATTCATACATTACATACAAACTCATATATTTCAGATGTTTATTTTGTTTAATTTTGATGATTACAAATGACAACAAATGAAAATCTCAAATTCATCATATCAGAAAATTAGAATATTGTGAAAAGGTTCAAAATTGATGGCCCCTGGTGCCACACTCTAATCAGCTAATTAACTCAAACCACCTGCAAAAGCCTTTAAATGGTCTTTCAGTCTAGTTCTATAGGCTACACAATCATGGGGAAGACTGCTGACTTGACAGTTGTCCAAAAGACGACCATCGACACCTTGCACAAGGAGGGCAAGACACAAAAGGTCATCGCTAAAGAGGCTGGCTGTTCACAGAGCTCAGTGTCCAAGCACATTAATAGAGAGGCGAAGGGAAGGAAAAGATGTGGTCGAAAAAAGTGTACAAGCAAGAGAGATAACCGCACCCTGGAGAGGATTGTGAAACAAAACCCCTTCAAAAATGTGGGGGAGATTCACAAAGAGTGGACTGCAGCTGGAGTGAGTGCTTCAAGAACCACCACACACAGACGTATGAAAGACATGGGTTTCTGCTGTCGCATTCCTTGTGTCAAGCCACTCTTGAACCACAGACAGCGTCAGAAGCGTCTAAAGAGAAACAGGACTGGACTGCTGGTGGGTGGTCCAAAGTCATGTTCTCTGATGAAAGTAAATTTTGCATTTCCTTTGGAAATCAAGGTCCCAGAGTCTGGAGGAAAAGAAGAGAGGCACTTCATCCACGTTGCTTGAAGTCCAGTGTAAAGTTTCCACAGTCAGTGATGGTTTGGGGTGCCATGTCATCTGCTGGTGTTGGTCCATTGTGTTTTCTGAGGTCCAGGGTCAACGCAGCCACATACCAGGAAGTTTTAGAGCACTTCATGCTTCCTGCAGCTGACCAACTTTTTGGAGATGCAGATTTCATTTTCCAACAGGACTTGGCACCTGCACACAGTGCCAAAGCTACCAGTACCTGGTTGAAGGACCATGGTATCCCTGTTCTTAAAGGAATAGTACACCCAAAACATGATTAGCCTTCATTTTCTACTCACCTCCATGCTGAACAACACTCTGGAGTACTTTTTTGATATCTCAAATGCATCTGGAGATCTGGGAGACTTCTTGCTGTCTGCTGACATTCAAATAATGGAGGTCTATGGCGCCCGAGACAGAAAGGTCCACAAAAGTCCACAAAAACTTGTCAATATTCCTCCATACTGCTCGTCCAATGTAATCCAAGTGTCCTGAGTGGGTAGCATCCAGAATTTACTCGAAACGAAGTCATTTAGAACGTTTTAGAGCCTAAACAGTAGTGTATAGGATTTCCTAATAGCGCCCCCATGCGCGCTCACGATTCTACGGAAGCCGGCAGACCAAACCAGCGCATTCAGCTCGGCAAAGAACTCATGCTCTTCCTCAACACTGAAGTCCTCAGACATTTTTCTTTCGTTGTTTCTTTCTTTGCACAGGTAAACAGCACATTTCTTCTTCTACGCTTGCATTATCGGCAGACCAGACGCTGAATGCGCACTTCCTTCCGGTTTGGTCTGCCGGCTTCCGTAGAATCGTGAGCGCGCATGGGGGCGCTATTAGGAAATCCTATACACTACTGTTTATGCTCTAAAAACATTCTAAATGACTTCGTTTCGAGTAAATTCTGGATGCTACCCACTCAGGACACTTGGATTACATTGGACGAGCAGTATGGAGGAATATTGACACGTTTTTGTGGACTTTTATGGACCTTTCTGTCTCGGGCGCCATGGACCTCCATTATTTGAATGTCAGCAGACAGCAAGAAGCCTCCCAGATCTCCAGATGCATTTGAGATATCAAAAAAGTACTCCAGAGTGTTGTTCAGCATGGAGGTGAGTAGAAAATGAAGGCTAATCATGTTTTGGGTGTACTATTCCTTTAATTGGCCAGCAAACTCTCCTGACCTTAACCCCATAGAAAATCTATGGGGTATTGTGAAGAAGAAGATGCAATACACCAGACCCAACAATTCAGAAGAGCTAAAAGCCACTATTAGAGCAACCTGGGCTATCATAACACCTGAGCAGTGCCACAGACTGATCGACTCCATGCCACGCCGCATTGCTGCAGTAATACAGGCCAAAGGAGGCCCAACTAAATACTGAGTGCTGTACATGCTCATACTTTTCATGTTCATACTTTTCAGTTGGCCAACATTTCTATAAATCCTTTGTTTTTATTGGTCTTCAGTAATATTCTAATTTTCTGATATGATGAATTTGAGATTTTCATTTGTTGTCATTTGTAATCATCAAAATTAAACAAAATAAACATCTGAAATATATGAGTTTGTATGTAATGTATGAATATAATATACAAGTTTCACTTTTTAAATGGAATTACAGAAATCAATCTACTTTTTCATGATATTCTAATTTTATGACCAGCACCTGTATTATTGTTACAGTTGCCAGTTTCAGTTTGCAGTAAAAGCTGTCTTCCAGGAACCTATAAAGTTCTTCAGAAAGGAAAACCTGTGTGCTGCTTTGACTGTATACCTTGTCCAGTTGGGAATTTTAGCAACACCACAGGTACCACAGACCCAAACTATAGTATATGCATCCTCTTTGCATACTAATGTGTGAAAATATGTTCTCATTTTTAAACATTGTTAGGGTGCAAACAATTAAATGATATTATTACCAATGTCTTTCATTGCAGATTCTATAAACTGCAAGAAGTGCCCTGAAGAATATTGGTCCAATCAAAACAGGGATGACTGTATACCCAAAAAAAAAGATTTTATCTCTTTCATTGAAATCATGGGCAAAGTACTGGTATTTTTCACTTTGTTGGGAGTTTTCCTAACTTTAATAGTAGCCATGTTGTTTTTAATCAATAAGAACACTCCATTAGTGAAGGCAAACAACTCTGAACTGAGCTTCCTGTTGCTTTTCTCCTTGTCTCTCTGTTTCTTGTGTTCTTTGACATTTATTGGCAAGCCCACCGGCTGGTCCTGTATGTTGCGACACACAGCATTTGGCATTACCTTTGTCCTCTGTATTTCTTGCATTCTTGGTAAAACAATAGTGGTTCTAATGGCCTTTAAATCTACACTTCCAGGTAGTAACATGATTAAATGTTTTGGGCCTGCACAGCAAAAACTCACTGTTTTGTTTTTCACTTTTATACAGATCATAGTTTGCATCCTGTGGATAACAATAAATCCTCCCATTCCTTACAAAAATATGAATTATTATATGGAGAAGGTAATCCTTGAGTGTGATCTTGGATCACCTTTTTGGTTTTGGGTTGTGTTAGGATACATTGGTCTCCTTGCCTTTCTATGTTTTGTCCTTGCTTTCTTGGCAAGAAAGTTGCCCGATAGCTTCAATGAGGCAAAGCACATCACCTTCAGTATGTTGATCTTTTGTGCAGTCTGGCTCACCTTTATCCCAGCTTATGTCAGCTCACCTGGGAAATTTACTGTTGCTGTTGAGATATTTGCCATACTAGCATCAAGTTACGGGATACTGTTTTGTATATTTGCACCAAAGTGCTATATCCTTGTTATAAAACCTAAGCTGAACACAAAGAAACACCTTCTGGGAAAAACACAATGTTAATTATTATGAGTTGTTATTATTTTTACAAGATACAGAAACTTTTCTTTATATTTTTTTATATTTAGCTTTTTGTTGTTGTTGGAGGACCTCATAAAAAAACAAATGCATACAAAATTCTAAGCAATGTACTGAGCACTGCAAATATAAACACATTTTTGAAAAACATTATGGTTTCCCTTTTTTTTTTAACATGACGAACCCAAAACATACAGAATTAAATACATGCTCTGTGGATAAATGGTAATTCAATCAGAAGTCAAAACTACAACTTTACATACATTTTGCTAAGCTAATACATCTAGAGTGGTGTAGAAACAAATAATCAAATTTCCTTTAAAAAGATATTAAATATAATTAATTGATCTATACAATTTAATTCCTCCAAAGTATGTCAATATCCAGTTTTTCATGTTAAGGAAATTTAGAGTAACCAGCAACTTGATATTGTCCAAGCATCACCTCCTGGTGAAACACTGCTGTTACATCCATCTTTGTAGCTTCTGTTAATAACAAATAAAGTGACTTCTCTTTAAAGCCCCATAAACATTAAAATGTATACAGGATATATTTAATTCTCTTTTTGTGGGTAAACTCTAATGGGTGCGGAAGCGTATTGCATTCACCAAAGAAAAAAATTCTGACAGCTTATCTCATATGTCGCAATCAGGAAAATAGAACGAAATATAGATCGCTAGTTAATCTCACCAAACTGCTCAAATAACCTGCCGCTGATGGAAGGTAATCACGCAACATGAATAGCTAAACTAGAAAAAGCTGTTTCGCAGAAACAGCAAAGTGGGAATGCTTTCTTTGCTGAACGAAATAATAAAAATTAGTGAAAGAAACTGCGAGCTGAGGAACATAGGAAAATGTGAAAGGAAGTCATCAGAAACTTCAAACTGCAGAAAACAATTGAATCATCTGAAGATTTTGTAGGGTAGATTCATCTGGCAGTAAAATGGCAGAAACAAACTCATCTTAAAAGCTGCACTGCCAAACCATACATGATATCAAAAATGTGTTTAATGTGGGCACTAGAAGGGGTCTAAATGTAATGTCTCCCAACTTTCTAGAAAAACTTCTAAAGAAATTTTGAAGGGGGGCCACCTACTTTCCAGAAAGATGTCAGGCGTGTTATGAATTAGCAGCAAACAGACAGGCTTAATTCCTGTCTAGAAAGAGAGGAGAATGAAGCCAAAGTTCTTAGCATAGGCTGAAAAATATTAAATTAGCTAAATCAGAAAAGAAATTACAAAGAAAAACTTGAATCTTATCTGGTTGAAAAAAAAATATGAGTAGCTCAAGGATGGGAAGTAAAATGTTGAGGATGATGGCATTGAATAAGTATCAAAATTCTGAAATTGTGGAAATGTCAAGACTTGGCAAGACAATTTGAAATTATTTAAAATGTGTGGGTTGATCAGCATGAAGAAAACAGTGTCATCCTTAGAGGATTGAACATCTACAAACCTATGTGCAAGACTGACCATGAGAAGCAGAGGAAGGACAGAGAGAGAAGCTTATAGAAAGAGAGCTAATACCACTTAAGGAGCTGAATTTATCAAAAAATCTAACCTGCATGTTACAAGCCACTGTGTTGATGACAGCACCATTGGCAGGCTTAGGCTGCATGTTACGAGGTTAGCAGATGTGTTATTACAGTGTAAATCTTAGAACCTGATTAAGAAATATGCACTGAGGTGTGTGGTCAACATGCCTTGGTAGTGTAATTTGAAGAAATTGGTTGAGTTTGGGTCATAGCTACGAGCCATACGGCACAATGAATGAGTGTGTGTAAGGAAGAGGCTTTTATTTTGTAGAGTCCCTTTAGTCTTATTTTGAAAGTCTATCATGGATGTGTGTCAGGGGAAGGGCCATGCCCAGCAGTGATATAGAATCCATTTCTAAATATGAAATCACTGGTTTTCCATGTTATTGGGTGAATAGATGCTGTATTAAAGCGTAAATGGGATACTTTTATTGTGAAATTCGCTCCGGGGTATGTTTTGAAAAGGTCCCTAGAGTCTAATAGAAACAAGCTGGTAGAGTTTGGGTCATAATGCAGAGCCATTTGCATCAATTAATACGCGAGTATAATATAGAGGCTTTTACTGTGTAGGGTCGCTGGAGTCTTATTTTGAAAGTCTAGCAGGGTTGTGTGTTGAGAAAAGGGTCAGACCCAGCAGTGATACTTGATGACTTTCCAATCGTTAAATCACTCTTTCCCCTGTTATTAGGGCAGTAGATGAAGTGGCAATGGGAGGCTTTTATTTTGAAATTTTCTGTGGGGTGTGTTTTGAAAACCACCTAGAGTCTCAGTTTTAAAAAAGTGGTTGAGTTTGGGTCATAATGTTGAGCCATATGCTGGGAAAAAAATATGAGTTTAACCCTGTAAAACCCAAATATAGAAAGACACTAAAAAAATTTTTTTAAACCACTCAGATGTTGTTGTAGGAGGCCTTTGAGGCTGAAAATGAAGTGTTTTCAAAAATTTTATGTTTTAGTAAGTTTTTACAGAAATGTTGTAATATTGCAACATTGGGCCAAATGGGGAGCAGAATTTCCTGTATGTGTACTCATTGTCTGAACAACAATATAGGACTACGGATTAATTTGCAGGGTTTTGCTTTTATCCCAGAACAGTATAACATGAAAAATACTCTCAGTCATGTTGTTATGAACAGTTTGTTTTTATTTATTCCAGCAAAGAGAACTTTTTATTTACAATGATAGTCCCAAAAACAGTTCCTTTCCTCTGAAAAACAGAGGCGAACATCGCACTTGCTGCAATGGGTATTCGTATACCCTTTACTGCAATGTCTGCAGCGTCCTCTCTTGACCTTCATGGGGAAATGTCCAGTGAGGTCCTTGCGCACATCGAGTGGGGGGTGTGCACATGATTTCTTGGACGGACAATTTGGACTCCCATCATCTGAGGATGGTCTCTTCCTAGCAGTCAAGGGACTCCCTGCTGCGTCTGGGTTCCCGCTGCCTGATGATGGACGTCCTCTTTTTGGAGTTGTGAGTGTTGTGTCCATCTGATTTGAAAAGAGAAGAATCAATATTAATATTAATAATCAATTCATGCACGTGTCAAAAATGCATGCAGATATCGCAAAACATGGCAAATAGCAGAAATAGATTCTTACCAGGATGAGAGAGGATGCTAGCTGTGCCTGGAACTTTATCATGTTTAGCATCTCCTTCTTTGGCATCGCGAGAGCCTGACAGTGCCGTTTGTAGAGGAGCCAGGCGTTGACCACAGCGAGGGTGATGGTGTGCCAGAAGATGTACATGTACCATCGGCGGGATTTCAGGGTGATCTTGTATTTTGCTGTAAATGAGTCCAACAAATCCACACCTCCCATGTATTTGTTGTAGGTAGCCACAATGTAAGGTCTTTCAACGTCAATGTAGGTTTTGGTGGCTTTGTCCCAGCGCTGAATCTCCTGCACAGGTTCTGGTCCAGTGAAGGATGACACAAGTGTGACTGCCCTGTTGTCATACCATTTCACAGCGCAGATGTTGTGTGTCCCCTCCACTCTGTGGTCAAAGCTTCCTCTACCCTTTTTCTTCAAGCTCTTCTCATCTTCAAGGTTGCAGTTAGGGAGCCGCACCTGCCTGGCTGTACCCACATAATGGATTCCATGCTCAAGGAGCTTCACTACCAGTGGAACAGAGGTGAAGTAGTTGTCTGCATAGATCTTGTAGTTCTGACCCTTAGGAAGTGTGGAGGCAAGCTTCAATACAACATCACCTGACAATCCAAGTTCAGATTTGACGCGTATTCCATTCTTGCTGCCCTGGTAAACATCGAAGTCAAGCATCATGCCAGAGATTCCAGCTCTCACCCATACTTTGAACCCCCATGTATGTGGCTTGCCTCGCATATACTGCTTGATGCTGCTGAACTTCCCCTTGAAAGGAATCATCATTTCATCCACAGAATTGTGCTCTTCTGGTACCACCTGCAGGCATTTCTCCCTGAATGATTCAAGCCATGGTCTGAGTTTCCAGAGTTTGTCCCTCTTTTCAATCTCTGACACTGTCAAATTGTTGACAAAATGTAATTTTGTCAACAGAGATTGGAATCTGTTGCGTGGCATCACATCAGCAATAGGGGGGTGCCGTGTATCTGTCTCCCAGTACATACGGCTTCCAGACATTTGTACCAAGCCCATCCTCAGGTACATGCCCAACATTTTCTGTATTTCCTTTGTATTAGTGTTAACAGATCTTCCATCATTTTGAATGCTGTACTCATTTGTACTTGTAGCCAGAGCTTGAATCATGTCCTCTGACACAAACTTTTGGAAGTATTGGAGTGGTGTGTGGAGGAAGGTTACATCGTCTGTGACAGGTGGACCAGAAAAATCAGTATTGGGACTGATAAAATCCTTTTTTTGCCAGCGATATCTGTCACGGGGCATGATGCGTTCATTTTCTTGGGGCTCAATGTCCACATTGGCTGGGCAGTCAGACGGCTCTTGGTTTTCTTTGTCCACACAGGGATCATTGTCTGACTCCTCATCACTTGCATCAGTGTCATCAAGGGGTACGTCCACATCACTCTCTCCATCTTGGATGATTGCAATGATATCCTGCACACTGTACCGAGGATCTTTCCTTGCTGCTGGCATTCTGAAATGGAAAAGATAAAATTTAAACAAATGTATATATAAATAGTACACATACTTAGATTCTAGATAACCTGCAGGAAAAGACTGGGTGGTTGAGAGATTGATGTTAATTTGAAGTGTTTACACATTGCCCTGAAGTAACCCATTCACACATTTCACTGGTCACACAATACTGTGTCACACAATACTGTGTGGCCGACCAATTCTAAACTCTGATTATCATCAAAATAGGAATCCAAGTAGCCTCCAACTTACAGCCACACCTTACATTCCTGGTCATCAACCCCTGTTCCAGAGCAATGTAATGCAAAGGCCCCTCCAAGCATCCCCACACCTGCTTTGACTATGAATTGATTGGAACATT